CAATACCATGGATCTATCGGCACAGAAGATCACTGTTCTTGACTTGGAAGAAAATTCTTCTGACGAGGTAGTACTTCCATTTGTAGTATACCAGAAAATTGCTCTCCTATCCCCTTTTCAGGACTCCTCTAGCCCAGCGCGTCTTCGTCTCGGATCTGCCATGACCCACGGAATAAGTACAGATTCAGTTTGCGTTAGCTCGCGTACGGCTGCCATCCTAACAACACTCGGGACCGGATCTACCCTTATAGCTGCCATTATCACATTCTTCTCCATTATGAGATACAGGAAGGTCTTTGATAAAGCCCAGATTCGTTAGGAAGCCCACATAAAGTTTTCGTATATTATGTTAGGTAGTAATTATCGTTGTCAGTTGAATTCGAAAATCTCATCGGAGTCTTGCTAAACTGGTAGACGACATTCCCATCTTTTCTCCTTCATATTTGCTTCAATTTTCAATTTTTGTTTGTTGTGTACCTATGCTTTTAACCAACGATGTTTCTTTCGTTTTCATTGCGGCTGACAAACGCACTATTCTGAAGTATCGCTAGATAACCTCTTCAGCATTGTTGTAACTTCAATAAAGTTCGCCTTTTATGATGTTATACCAGAGATCGGCAAACGAGATCATTGCATTTCACAGGGACGTTTCCCAGAAACCAACTAAAGAAACGGTGCCAAGCCAAACTCCTTATCGCATGTTCGTTGCAAGAATATGTTAGATCAATTCTTCAACGCAAGCGTCAGAGGCAGCTCACCTATGCTCACGTGTATGCTACTAACCTTGAGGTATAAGGAAGTTATCCTCCGACTGTCAACAAATCGCTCGCGGGTAGAGGTGTCCAGAAATGGTTTATGAAAAACTTTAGCTTAGTAGATATCTTGTATTACCATTCTTTACAAAGTCAATGATGCTCTTTTTCTTTACATTTCTTAGGAAACCTCTGCTCTTTTACGTACATCGAATAGTGAGTTATGTAATACAATTCAGGCACAATCGAATTACAAACTACACAGTTTCCCGACCCCCGTGATGGTCTACCGCCTCATCGTGGCGCGGGGTGACTTTGGGTGTCGAGCTGCGAAGTACAGCGGAGGTTTATCCTCCGGCAGGATCTCCCAAGCTGAGAAGGAGTTCGACGTTTCCGGTTCT